AGCAGAGACCCCCATTGAGGAGTTCACCCCCACGCCAGCCTTCCCTGCGCTGCAGTACCTCGAGTCCGTGGATGTGGAGGGTGTGGCCTGGAGGGCCGGGCTGCGCACAGGAGACTTCCTCATCGAGGTGAGGCTCATCCTTACCTGTGCATCTAGGTGGGGTGCTGACCTCTGAGCCCTGAGGAGGACACACCTGGACTGCCCCCGCCCACCTCCCTGTCTGTCCCAGGTGAACGGGGTGAACGTGGTGAAGGTTGGACACAAGCAGGTGGTGGCTCTGATCCGCCAGGGTGGTAACCGTCTCGTCATGAAGGTGGTCTCGGTGACACGGAAGCCCGAAGAAGACGGGGCTCGGCGCAGAGGTGAGGGATCAGGCTTCAGACCTCTGTGCCCAGACTTTCCCTTCTGGCTCCTGACCTTAGACCTTTGACCACAGGCCCATGTTTCTCTGCTCACCCCCTGACCCCAGGCTGCTGATGTCTGAGCCTAGGTGAAATGCCCCCTTCCTGGCCTGGATGCTTTCCCTGTCTCTACTGTTAGACTGCACCCTGGCTCCCGGCCTCTGACCCCTGACCCCAGGTTGCCCCTCTTCAGATCCCTGCCCCCTGCTTCCTGGCTCCCCCCAGCCCCTGGTGTGGAAGAGCCCTCCTTCCCTGCACTGCCAGCAGCTGCCTGGAGGCCGGGGTTGCCATAGCAACTGTGAGGTTGACGCTGCCTTCCGCTCATTGTCGGAGGGAAGGGGGAGGCGGCACCTGAGGGAAGAGGAAGAGCGTCTTCTCCCCGCGCCGTGATGTCGCGGCTCAGCCTGGGCTCAGGAGGCCTTGCTGGCCTGGCCCAACCCGGGCCCTGGCTCGGCTGACCACACCCTGGTCCCCTGAGGGGCAGTGGCCTCCAGGGCTAGGGGGAGCCCTGGAGCAGCAAGAGCCCAGCCTGCTGGGGGCCCCTCCCAGCCCCCACCCCATGGCTCTGTTGCCCCTTGCTCAGCCTTTGGAGCCTACAGGGTGGGCACTCAGGCTGGTGCTGGCCAGCACAGTGACCCCCACTGGGGCTCTTGACCACCTCCCGAGGCCCCGCCTGCCCTGGCCCAGCCAGGCCCTCAGCACCCCCTGAGCTCCCAGCGCCATGAAGAAGTTTGCATCCAGCCGCAGCCTGAACAAGATCCTGGCGCAGTGTGACGCGTCCTCACGGGAGTACGAGGAGATCCAGGCGGTGGAGCGCAAGTGGCACCTGCACCTGGCCACTCCGCGCTGCCTGCTGCTGGACAGGAGGTCCAAGGCTTCCCTCTTCTTTGCAGCCCCGCCGCCTCCCAAGAGGGCCCCCAGCACCACACTGACCCTGCGCTCCAAGTCCATGACAGCTGAGCTTGAGGAACTTGGTGAGTGTTGGGGGCGGGAGGCCATGGGCAGCCCAGGGTGGGAGGCCAGGCGGAGTGAGCTGGGGCCAAAGCCAGGCAGAGACAGAGGGCAGGAAGGGCGGACAGACTGACATTTGAAGAGGTCAAAGGTAAATGGGTGGGTGCCGGAGTGGTGGGGTGAGGAGGGGGACAGCGTGTAGATGGGATGAGGGTCGAGGGGCTGGGTGACAGGGCTGGAGATGGACATGGGACAGCCAGGATGGTGGTGGGAGCAGGCCTGGCCCACCAGTGTGTCTGCATGCGTGTGCATGTGTTGCCTGTCGCTCTCCAGTCTGACGTGACTTCTTCGTTTCATCTAAGTGAGAAAAGGGCAGTAGTTTGGTGCCCTGGGCTCTGTTCCAGGCTCTGCCGGGCACTAGCTGTGTGACTTTTGCATTTATTTTACTCTCTCAGCACCTGCTCACTCACTGGTAATGACAGTGAGCGGCTGACCTCAGAGGGCTGTGTGCACCTCCCTGGTTCAGTGATGGCGCAGGCCCTTGTGGGCTACAAAAGGCACACAAGAGTGTGTCAGGGCTTTGATGGGGCATGTTGTGGGCATGATCCCAGAGTGATGTCAGTAGCCTCATTGTGGGCATGTCTGGAGATATGTGGCAGTTAATAGCCTCATCGTAGGTGTGTCCAGATATGCATAGCCATGTCCTGACATTCGTGACCATCAGTGTCCTCGTCATGAGCGTGTCCTGCTACACATGACCGTTAATGTGCTCTGTCCTTCTACAGTCCAAACCCAGTCCTAGTCCCAGACTTTGCTCTGGCTTCAGCCATAGTAGGAACACCAATACTGTCCCAGGCTGGGATCTAACCCACTCATGACCCTGATCCTGGTTCTAGACTGAGTTTTAACCCTGGCTTCAGGCTTAGTTCTTCCCCAGCCATAGAAAGAACCCTCACCTTTCCCCTAAAGTTGTTCCTGACCTTAGTCAGTGACCCTGTCCTGGCCATGGGCTGAGCCGCCCCGTCCAAGAGCTGGTGCTCTTGACTGCAGTTTAGTTTAATGTGGAGGACAGCCACCAAGATCAACCGGGCTGACATGGTCAGGATTTTCTTCCCCACAAATACAATCAATAAAATAAAAATTTAACAACACATAGCAAACTCAAAACAAAGAAACAGGAATTCCCCAGGTCTCAAAATGAAGAAAGAAATCAGAGTCAAGAGAGTGAGAGGAAGCTGATGCTTCCATAGTCTGTGGTGGCTTGGGATAGGGATGTAGATTCTCAGGGCAAGGGGTTGGGGTTCTGATGCCCCCACAAAGCCAAGAGATGTGGTTGTGGACCAATGAGAAGTGGGAAAGCTGGAACCAAGCCCAAGAAGTAGAATTAGCATCAAAAAACTGAAAATCATAGAAGAATATGAAAGAGACAAAATAAGGTAATTAAATACAAAGTTTAAGAGAAATAACAGAATTCGTAGTGAAAGAACAGGACAATACTAAAAGAAAAAGAAAAGAAAAGTAGATTCTAAAAGAACTGTTATTGAAACAAAAAGTATAGCCACTGAAACTAAAAAACCTGTCTGGGATGAACAGGGTACCTTGTGTGGCAGGGTTGTTCCACAGACCCAGCTGAAGAGGAAAACAGTGAATTAGAGGGTAAGTCTGAGATCAGCCAAAATGCATCACAGGAGACAAGGAGATACGAACTATCAAAGGGCAGTTAAGAGACATGGAGGACATGTGAGAAAACCCCAGAGGGAACAGAATAAAGAGGTCTGAGAAGAGGCAATATTTGAAGAGGAAATGGCTAATAATTTTCCAAAATGAGAAAGGAGGTGAGATTCCAGTTTGAAGAAGTATAAGCTCCAAGCATGAAATTATGAAATAAATGTACATCGAGACTGTCATAGCAAAACGTCAAAGGAAATATAACTATCAGAGAAGGAAGCTGATGATTTAGGAAGGAGGTGAAGACTGACAACTGACTTCTCATCAGCAGTAGTAGCTGCTGGAAGACAATGGAACAATAACTTCAGAGTCTTGTGTGAAAATGCTTTTCTACCTAGAATTCTATGTCTGGCCAAACCTTCTCCTTCAAGAGTGAGGCAGAGAAGCAAGCAGACTTCTGGTCCCAGGGTCCAAGGCTAGTTGTAGGGAGCTGATCTGTCTCACTGAGTGAGGATCCACACTGATCAATAAACAATACCACTAGGCAACTGGGTCTGGCTAGACACCATATCAAGGCTCTGGTGGGCCTGTCCCAGGAGCCTACTTCTAGAAAGGCTGTTACACGGCCATATTCAATGGCATGTTCAGAAGGGATCCTCCCAGTTCTGCATGAAGTGGTGCTTGGGCAGCCCCAGATCTGTAATCCAGGGACCCAGGTACTGCTCTGTCTGAAGAAACCAGTGAACAGCAGATCCTACCTCCTCTCTGCTCTGATCTAAGGCTTTCCCTTTGCTTCTGTGTGACTCTTGTCTTCCAGGGGCTCACTCTTGCAACCTCAGGTCAGCATAATCTTCACCCACTTTTCCTGAGCAGAGTTTCTGGAAGGATGAGGAAGGGATAGCTTGGCACAGAGCTTCCATCCACACTGATGACCGAGGGGTCACAGCTTTGGTTGAAGCCAGACACAGGCTCCTTAAGTTGCTACATTGAGAGGAGAAGCCACACCTGCCCTCAGAGGACAGCTGTCCTGGGAAGCCAGCCTAGTTTCTGACCTCTAGAAACACCTGGTTTGAGGAAGGCAGGCTAGTATGAGTGTCTTCTCATGTACCAAAGGGCTCAGCCCACAATCCAGTGTTTGTGCTTTTACAAGATAGAAAAAAGACCTGCTGGCTCATTGCCAGCACTAACATGTCAGTTTTGTGTTGCACTGTCGAACTGATGGAACCCTTTAGGGTCCTGTAGTCTACTGGGAAGATGACCTAAACAGCTGGAGAAGAAGGAAAGTAAGAGCTGACAGAAAAAGCAGGTGGCAAGGGTGGGGGCTCATGCGCAGGTGTGCACTTGCTGCGCAGAGGGTGTGGGGGAGAAGCAAAGTCCTGCAGGGTCGAGGCAGCTGGTAGGAATGGGGCACAGAGGAATAGGTGGGGTAGGGACCCTCCCCTGAGATAGGGGTAGAAGGAGGAAGGGCAGGACACCCCCAGCGCCCTTCAACAAAGGGTGCATCAGGGTCCCCATATGCTCATTTACTCAGCATGAGCCAAGGACATGCTGGGGTTGCAGAGGTCAGTGGAGACCCAGGCTTGGGAGGGCCGTGGTGGGTTTGAGTCCCTCCTGTTCATCCACTTACCCTGGTAAACCTGGAACTTCTGGGTCTCTTTTCCTTTATAATAAGAATGTCAGGGCAGGTTCCACCTGTGTGCAGCCTCTGACTGGCCGTGGTCTGGCACACACTGGCCCTTTGTCGGAAACATACTGCACAGAATGCTCAAGGGTGACCAATCCAGCCATCAGTGGCCTCCAAACTTGTTTTTTATGGGATTTTGCCTTTTCTTTAAAAGAAATCTGGTTTACTTGTCTGTGGATGTCTCCACGTGTGTGTATGTGTGTGTGTGGATGTGCACAAGCATATGTGTATTGTGTGTAAATGGACATGCACAAATATGTGCGTGATTGGACATGCATGAGCATCATGTGCGCGTGTGTGCAGGTGTGTAATTGTGTGTGGATGCACACGAGTTTGTGAGCATCATGTATGGATAGATGTGCACAAGTGTGCATTGTGAGTGGACATGCAGAAGGGTGTGTGAGAGCATGTGTGTGAGTAGGCGTGCACAAGTGTGCACGAATATCGTGTGTGAGTGAACATGTATGGGCATGTTTGCACATGTGTGAGTGGGTGTGCAAATCATGTGTGAGCACTGTGTGTCGCCATGCACAAGTGTGTGCATGTGTGTGAGTGGACATGCATGAGCATCATGTGCACATGTGAGTGGGCTGCAAGTGTGCATGTGTGTGTGCATGTGCGTGCACACAAAAGCATATGTCTCTGCTTGTGGTTGTTTCCACCTTGAGTTTCAAGCCGTGTACCCAGTTGGCATTGGGCAGATTTGCCCTTCCGGTCTGGTAGGGAGTGTAGGACAGGGTTGTGGGAATCTGGGAGGTCCTGGTTGTGGGAGGGGAGGGGTGGGGTAAGAGAGATGGGGCAGGGAGTGGGGAATGGGGCCCAGGTGCCTGCCTCTTACCCCCTTTGCTCTGTTTCTTGATTCCAAGCCTCCATTCGGAGAAGGAAAGGGGGTGAGTCATCTGCTGTGTCCCCAGGGCCCCAGTTTCGCCTGACCCCTGTTCAGGGAAGTGCTGATGTGTGAGGAGGTTAAAGTTCAAGTTGGTGTTCGGGAAGCCTGGGCTGTACCCACCTGATGGCCTTCTTTCTGGAATCTGATGGCATAGTAGAAGGACCTGGGGAGGGCCACCTGGGGATATAATAGGCTGGGTCAGGGCCTTGTGGCTCAGGAGAGCTGGGGCAGCCTGGCGAGGCAGAGCTGGGAATACCCCTAGGGTGGAGGCCTGGAGCCAGGGAGGGAGGGTTCAGAGGGTCCAGTTGTGGCGCTTTGGGGGTGGGAGAGCCCGGTGCTTGACTTGGCCCATGTTGCTTCTCTCTGCTCTGGGGGCACCTTTGTGCCTGGTGTGTGGGTCCTGTTTCTGTGCTGATCTGTTTTGGGGTCAAGCCCAGTGCTGACAGTCCCTTCAGAGCAAGGGACTGGGCCCCACAGCACTGGGGAGAAAGCCTGGAGCTCCCCTGCCCAACATCGCCCAGCCATTGGCCTCACCACCCCTTGCTCTTACATTCCCGCCTCATCGGCCCTGTTCTCTGAGGCTCCTTCCTGTGTGTCCAGCCTGGTTGTGAAGGATGCAGCCTCCATGGGGGGATGGATACTGGGCCTGGGCACTGAGGCCCAGCACCTGGTCAGATCTCCGGGCCTGACCTCTGCCGGCTTCTTCTACCTCTCGAGTGAACAGGAGTCCAGGCCAGATGGAAATCAGAGGTGCTTCTGTGGCCCCTCATTGTCTCTTTTCCTGGTGCCCACCGGTCCCTCACGCTGGGACCCACAGGCCTGTGCTGTGCCAGCACACGTGTGCCCACCTGCAGCCCAGGCTCTCCTGTACAGCCTACAGCTGGGTCCCCTGAGCTCTTGCTGCCCCCTCTGAGCTCTCCCTGCCCCTTCCCCAGTCCAGATGAAGTGCTTTCCCTGGCGTCTTTTCAGGCATTGAAATGGGTGATAAAGTCTCCTCTGGGGACACTTTTGTGCACACCTTTGAGGCCGACACACAAACTATTTCTGGAGCACATCGGTTCTGTCCTCGGCTCATTAACGGGGCTCCCAGGGTGCTGTGCTGTGGCCTGCGCGCTTCCTCCAGTTGTAGGGGCAGAGTTGGTGATTCATCGCCCCCGCAGGCCCCGCTTGTTCAAACAGCTGCCTCCCGGCTGCATCCGCACACAACGCGCATCTCGCAGGAGGTGTGTGAGGCTGTGGGGGTGGGCCATCCCAGTGGCCCAGACCTGCTTCCCAGTGGGCTTCACTTATTTAAGTGTCTGAAATGATTTCTTTAAGAATATATTTTCTAACTGTGCTGGGGATTGGTGTCAATCTCACCAGCTTGTAGTATGCAGAATTTTTTATTCTTTCCCATGTGAAACTGATTCTCATCTGGCCGCAGCCCCATGGCCCACGGCCAGCAGTTATGCTCAGCTACCTTCCTGGGCATGTTGCGTTGGGTCTTGGGCTGAGTTCTGGACCTGGACGCACAGCCTCTAACTCCACAGCTCAGGTGAGCATGTGCCCTGCAATTCCCGCGGAAATGTTTCTCTCCATGCCTTTCTGTCTGTGGTTTCTGGACAGCCTGGCAGCTAAGTTTGACCTTTCACTGACTGGGTCTGTGATCTGGGTAGTTTCTCTCCCAGAGCTTCAGTTTCTTCCTGGGTACATGAGGGTGGCAGTAGTGTCTTCATGTGGTGGTTGTGGGATGTGAAGTACAGCTCTTCCAACTCTGGAGATCACCCAGGACTTATGTGGTGATGGTGATCAGCTCCAAAAGCGAAGTATACACCACATTACAAAAACAAACAAGGGGACCCTCCAACGGCCACCCTGGTTTGCACCTGGGCCCAGGCACCTGGGGCACTGGGAGCTCGTCAGAACTGGGCATGTTTGCTGGTGAGTTGAAACTTCTGTGTCAGGGTGGGGCTGGGTGCCCCGGGCTGGATGCCTTGGGTGTGCGGAGGAGCTGTGGAGCTGAGACAGGAAGGACTGTAGCAGACTGTGTTCAGCGCCTGCTCAGAGCCAGGCATGATGGTAGCACTTCTTAGTTACGTGCTAGTTCTCACAACACTGAAGCAGGTGCTGCTTGTGTGCTGTTTTATCAGGAAACTGAGTCACAAAGAGGTTAAGTCAGTGTGGGTTAAGACAGGATGGGTCTGGTCTGGGTTGGGTACCAGATATCTCAGGAGTTTACTTACTCTAAGCAGTGATTGCTAGGTGGTTCAGAGGTGGAACAGCAGGTGCTGGAAGGAGGTGTTGAGGCCGACCACAGAGGTTCTCCCATGTGGGGTGCTTGGGGGACCTGACACAGGGGCCTCTGGGGTTGGCACGGCCCCTGGGTAAGGAAGGGCTTGGGCAACTAGAGCCTGAGTGCAGGGTGAAGTGGGCGGGGCTCCTTAGCGAGAGGGTCTGCGTGGCAGTAGGTGGACACCCTGCCTCACCCCACTTGCTGGCCCTGATGGGACCCATCTGCCCTCCAGCCAGACCTGAATAGTTCTCAGACACATGTATTTGTTTAACAAAACTCCCAAGTCAAGTTGATAATCAAAACAGCACTTTAAAAAGCATCAAATAGCTTTAATAAAAACAAACAATGCTCTTTTACAATGGATTTGAGAAGAATGGTGCCCGAGCTGCCTGGTCCCTTTGCCTCTGAGCCCTCTGGGTCCTCCTTGTCCCCCCGACTGTCCCCCAGACCCTCTTCTCGGCACCTCCCACCTGGATGAAGGTTCTCTGGTCGCCTTATCAGCCTGGGGCTGTGAGCTGTTTTCAGAAAGTGCCCCGTTCATTCATCCTTGACCGATTCGCATCTTTTGTGGGTACCTGCTGTACCCCAGGGTCTGCCCTGGCGCAGTGGGGCCCAGACAGTGATGCCTGTGCTGAGGAGAAAAGTGAAAGGCAGAGGAAAGACCCTGGAAGGGAAGACCCTGGGTTCTCATCAGTGTGTCCGGGTCCTCCCCCTAATGTCCAGTCAGCCTTTTCTTGGAGTGGGATCTCCAGGGTCACCTGGAACCTCCCCAAGGATGGAGAGGCAGGCTGGAGCACAGTCTGGGTTCTGGTGGGTAAGGGCTCTGGTCCCAGGTCTGGAAGCCTGCCCTGGGGAGTGAGGGGTCTGAGGTGGCCTCAGCAGCACGAGATAGAAGAGTGAGTACTCAAGGTCATGGTGGCTGAAAAGGCACCTTCTTGGCTGTGCAGAGAAACTAGACGAGATCCTGGCGGCTGCCGCGGAGCCCACTCTGAGGCCTGACATTGCAGATGCTGACTCCAGAGCGGCCACGGTCAAACAGCGGCCCACCAGCCGGAGGATCACCCCAGCCGAAATCAGTGTAAGCTAGCTGGGGGCTGGGTGTGGGTGGGCTGGGGGCTGGGTGTTTGTGCATTTTCTGGTGTGGCGGTCCATCATTTGAACCCAGAACCTCTCCTGGAGACACTTGGACCACCTCAGCCCTCAGAATGACGACAGTTGAGTACATGCTGAGTGGCTTTCAGTGCCTTAGGCAGGTTCTGTGTCAGGCCTGTTCATGCCCCAAGTGGTGTGTCTTTGTCCCCCAGCCCACTTCTCCCACTGGGCACCTTCTGGGCTGCTTTCCCAGCCTCACCTGGGCCATATCCAGGGCCATTGTCTGCATCAACCCCACCCAACACTGTGCCTGGGCCCCTGCTGGCTGGCCCTGCTCTGGACACAGGTGCTGGGGCACCGGCACTGGAAATAGTGCATGGGGAGGTGTGACCTCAGGCTTAGGAAGAGCATGGGTGGGGCTGGGTGGCACCAGGGGGCAGTGCCCTGGAACCTCCATGTACCCTCCTGACTCCCACAGTCATTGTTTGAGCGTCAGGGCCTCCCAGGCCCAGAGAAGCTGCCAGGCTCCCTGCGGAAGGGGATTCCACGGACCAAGTCTGTAGGTATGGCTGGGCTGGGGTCTGTATGGGGTGGGAGGAATGGGGCTGGGCTGTAGCAGGGTGGATATGGGGCTGGAGAAGACCCTGTCTCTCCACCTTCAACTGGGGTTTCCAGTTTCCCTCTGATTCCTGCCCCTCCCTGGCCTCAGCCCTGGGGTCTCACGTTTTTGGACATAATTGGGGGTGGGGTAGGGTGTGTGTGTGTCAGTCCTTCAACAAACTCAGAGGTAGTTTGCTAAAACAGACCCTTGAGACTCTCCCCATACCCATCCACGGCTTCTCATCTGGTGGGTGTCTGCCTCCATCTATAGCTCCCTGTCCAGTGGGTACCCCCCATCCATGGCTCCCTGTCCAGTGGGTATCTTTCATGCATGGCTCCGTTTAGTGGGTACCCCCCACCCATGGCTTCCCATCCAGTGTACCCCCTCATCCACAGCTCCCCATCCAGTGAGTCCCCCTTATATACCTCCCATAGGCATGAGTCTTCTGTCTTCTATGCTGGGCACCTGAGTATATGCCATGTTTGTGATCCTAAAACTACTCTCCCCTTGAGCCTGNCCCCCCCCCCAGTATCACTCAGTACCTCTCCTCTCCTTCACAGCCAGTTTTCTCCAAAAGTCACTATACTTGCCGTCTCTTGTCCCCACCTGCTTCTCAGCTTGGGGGAGGCTAGCTGTGTTTGTGCCTAAAATTGAAGTTCCTCCCACCAGGATCACCAGTGTCTTCCAGGGCATTCCTCCCAGTGCATGTCACCAGACCCGCTCCCCCTTTAAAATCTTTTTTATTTTTTTATTTTAAATATGTCTTTATTGATTTCAGAGAGAGGAAGGGAGAGAGAGAGATAGAAACATCAATGATGAGAATCATTGATCAGCTGTCTCCTGCTGGAGATTGAGCCGCAACCTGGGCATGTGCCCTGACTGGGAATCGAACTGCAATCTCGTGGACCCTAGGTCAGTGCTCAGCGGCTGAGCTACGCCGGCTGGGCAGCCTCTTTGTCTGATCTCAGTTAGCATTTGCTTCTTCTGCCCCCTGGTCTCTGAACCTCTTCGCCCAGTTTTAGGACAACACTTTTGGTTTTCCCCCTGGTTCTCAGAGGCACTTGTTCAGGCCTCCCCCAGCCCCACACCACACCAGTGCAGGTCCTCCCTACTCTTTATTCCTCAAGGCTGTGCCCTTGGTCTCTCTGCCTCTGCACCTGTCTCGTTGGGACCTCATCACACCCCAGCTTCATGCCTCACACTTGGCCATGTCCTCTCTTAACTCTGGGCCTGGTCAAGCCCCACCTGCTGCTCATCCCTCTAGACATCCAGTGCCCTCTCCTGCTCATCTGTCCATCCCTCCACCCCCAGACCTGTCCACGTGTCCATCTATCTGTCCATGTACACCTCACCATACCCATCATCTCTTAACCAGTAACTGGCCATTCAACACTCATGCCAACACTGCTTTATGTTCATGCTTCACACAGTACTTAGAGGAACCCTGTGGAGGTAGCACTTCTAGTACCTCTGTGTTACAGACAATGAAACTGAGGCAAAGAGGTCAAATGACTTGCCCAAGATCACACAGCTGGCTTTACCTGTCTTCTGTTCACCTATCTGGCCAACCAGCTACCCAAACCCCAATCCCTCATTCACCCTAGGACCTCTGATGATCGATGCCCACTCTAGGCTGACCCTGGGCCAGGTGTGGGGGCTCAGTTGGGGGAGGTGACACGTGTGCAGACAGCTCAGCTTGGCAGTTACATGGTGAGTGTGAAGGACCACATACAGTTGGAGACAACTAGGGGGCACCAATCACACCTGGGTGTCTCGGAAGGCTGGAAGGATGATTGGGGGTTTCTGGGAGGTCATGTGGTAAACTGCTGATAAAGGTTGTCCATCATGTGTGGTGTGGTCCTGCAGGGGTTGCTATGGGTCATTTCTGTAGGAGGGAGGGTGGGGAAGAGGGCAGGTGAGACTGCAACCACTTTGGAGCTCAGAGGCACTTCTGACACCCTGCTGGCCTAAGCCCTGGGTGTCCTCCATGGCTTCCTCATCTCTGCTTCCCCTGACAAACTATGGGTGCACTGCCCCCTCAAATGCCTTGCGCCTGACTCCTCACCATCCTTGTAGCCCTGCCTGGCCAGACCTCAGTGTCTTGCTCTTGGACCACAGTTTTGGTGTCCTCCTGACCTCCTTTCCCAGTTCCACCCTCTGTTCAAATGTAGCCTTTTGCAGAGCAGATATCACCTCTCATTGCTGTAGTTGGCCCTTTGTGGGCTCCTTGTTGCCTCGGGGTCCTGGGGACCAGCCCAAGCCTTTACCTGTTTCATCTGGGGACATCTGTCTCTGCTTCCTTCTCACCTGGGTCTGCCTCACTCTGCCAGAGGCCTGATCCTCAGCTGTACCCAGTCCCAGGATGGAAAGGTTCAGATCCAAGTGCCTGCCCATGGGGACATGAGCCCAGGTGGGGATGGCAGCTCTTCCCAGACCCTCCAGTGCTCCGGCCAGGAGTAAGCTGAGAGGAGCTCATTTTTAACCCCCTTGCCTTGACCTGAAGAACAAGCTATCAGGCTCCTGGGGCATCCACCCCTTGCCCTGGCTGTGTGGCCCTGGGCACACGATTCAGTCCTTGAAACTTCAGGGTCCTGATCCGTAAACATGGGGACCACCTAGTACCTGGCTACCTCCAAGTCCACTCAGGTTCCCCAGTGGGGTGTACTCATAGCTGAATATGGAGCGCGATGGCCACTGCTCATATTCGGTGGCATTGGTCCAGCGTTTGGGGGCCCACACTCAGGTGCTGGGGAAATGCTCACTGCTACATCTGGGCAGAGGGCTCTGCCTACCCCAGATGGCATCAGAACGGACTCCCCATTTCATCCTGAGGCAAGTGACTTGTGTTTACCTGAAGTTAGAGTTCAGCACTCCAGACCCCCTGCAGCCTCTAGGAGCACCAACTTTTCCCCATGGCTCTGTCTCATGCATGGCGCGTGGGTGTTTCTATGCTGTGCTCCTGTGTCCAGCAGTAGGGGTGGAAGGCAGACCTAAAAACAATGATGATGACGACCTTGGCCACCCATCTGGGTCGCTTCTAGGTGCTTAGCCCTGTGCTGTAAGCTTTAAATGGCTCCAGCTTACACAGCCCACCATGGGGCAGGCAGTGTCCCTGAGGGGAGGAAACTGAAGTGCAGAGAGGTTTAGGAACATCAGACAGTAAAACCTCTTCACACAAAAGCCCACCCTTGCTGGGCCGGGGATACAAGAGCTGCTACGCAGGACAGGACGAGACGCAAAGCAGGCGTAGGCAGCCTGGCGAGAGCACTGGCTGGCTCAGAGGAGGCGGCTGGGGATGGGCAGCTGCATCCTGGCGAGCTCATAAGAATACCACCAAGTCCAGAGGGAAGCAGGTGTCGACCCCAAGGCGCTCCACGAGAGGCTCGTGTGTCGACACAGCCGTTCACGCACTCCCTTTGGGTTGGGCAGTGGGCACCTGCAGCCTCAGTGGACACGCCCGCAGCACAGGTGTCCACGCTGTGTCTACAAGGAGGTCCTGCTGGGTTGCAGGCAGGCTACAGGAAGGTGAGAGCCCTACGCCCTCTCAGGGTCTAATTATGCCTCAGGCAGGCAGAGGGAGGTTCATTTTAGTGTGTGTTGCCCATGAGAGAACTGAGGCTCCGAGGGGCTCGGGGCTTGGCCTGGGGTCATAGCCAAAAGGGAGGAAATCTGAACTGTCAGGAGGTCAGCCTGCAGCTCGTTTTCATCCGCCCACCCTTCCACCCACCTTCCTGAGTTTTAGCCACTAGGGTCCTGGCAGTGACTGGCAGCCTCTCCCAGTCCACTCTGTCCACAGGGCTCTGGACTGGACATGCACGGAGCACCGCCTCACCTGGGCATCCGCCCTCTTCCTGCCAGAGGCTTGGTGTCACTGGCCACAGCCCTGCTGTCCCCTTGTCTACAGTGTCAGTCCTGCCCTGGGAGTGTCCCTCCTGCCTGTGGCTGCCACCAGGCCCTCCCAGTGAAACCTGCTTATTCCACTGCTGTGGTTCTGAAATGAGCTCAGTCTTGCGTGGGAGCCCTGCCCCCTGCCCCCCATGACTGGGGAGCTTCCCCTACCCTCCTGGGGTGTCTCCTTTGGGCCCTCTGTGTCCAGGGTTTGGGCAGGTCTTGGCCCCAAGTCGTGTGGTCAGAGTTTGGGTTCTTTCTCAGAGCCTCTGCTGGCGGGCCCCCCCTCTACCCGACATTTGAACTGATACCTCCCCCCAGTCTTCGCAAGAACCCCCCTGAACCAGCAACGGTATTGGGGTGCAGGTCCTGGGCCTTGCTCAGATCCCCTGCTCATGGCTCCCCGAGTCTCCCCTGCTCTCCCACCCCAGACTCCATGCCTGTCCCGATCCCGTCCTCTTGGGTCAGGCTAGCGCCCCGCGCCGACTGCTCAGGGGCCTCCCAGCCACTCTGGGACCCTAGGGTGGGCTTGGGGCGGAGCGGCCCCCGCGGAGGGCCTCCCCGGAAGACAGCGGCTCCCGGCCCGGCGGTCTCACGGGGCCCTCTGTCCGCAGGCGAGGACGAGAAGCTGGCGTCCCTGCTGGAGGGGCGCTTCCCGCGCAGCACGTCGATGCAGGACTC